ACTAGCCGTGCGGCGATACGCGATGGTGATCGAGAATGATAGGTGATGGCGATGTGACACAATGCAGAACGAACTAAGTGGTATTTATAGTTTAATAGGTTTTCGGCTTGTGACAGATAATTTCATTATAATACTGACTAGCAAATTGACTAGATTGACTGACTAGCAAATTCACAATTTTAATGTTTTGATTCGACATCTGGAATTGAACTTGCTGCAAGTACGACTGCCACTCCTCGGAACTTTACTTTTTGAATATTTTTGATAATTTGCGTTCAATATGACAAGTTACAAATAATACCGAATATCTTTTTATCTTTTTTCCTCTTTAAACACTCTCCTTCATGAAGTTCTAATACTTGTTGAGGCATGGAAGTGGCAGAACAACCTTGTTTTGTGCATCCTCAGAAGCTTTTTTCGAATACAAAATCTGAAAGCCTTACTAATCATATCCAAAATGCACAGGTGAGTGTTAAATTGTTCAAGTAATACCGTGAAATGTTCAACTTAATGGCTAACAATGCATGTATTTTTGTTAGGAGATGGGCAAGAGTCCTTCAGAGGAGAGTACTCACTCTCCTCTTGATATTTGCATGGATGGATGTTCTGCATTGGAAAATGGTGAGATAATGTCCAAAAGACCTTGTATTATGAATGGAAGTGACAAAATTAGTGTTTCTCCTGTTGTTGAAAATGGGCATGCGGATGCTGCAAATGAAGCACTTATTGTAAGAACACATCCTCTTGAACCTATTAGCTCTACCACAGACAGTCTGAGTCAGAGCGAACAAAGTATTGATTTTGATCTCATAAAAGAAACTGGTTCAACAAAAAAGAATAAAGCAAAGAAGCGAGTTAATATCTGCACTGACCGGGAAACTTTAGAAGAAGATGGTCTTCATAATGTGGAAACTATAGCTTTGAGAAGAGGTTCGGAAACATCCGATTCTGTTGCTATGAGCAGTAGCACTGATGGATGTCTGACTATGACTGGAACTATTAAGCGTGGAAAGAAGGCAGGTCAGAGTGTAGATGTTAGATTGAATATGTCTCGAGAAGAACTTGAAGTATTAGAGGCTGCTATTGCTGCCAAAAAGGGTAATTCTTCAACAACTGTTTCACAATATATTTGTGGGCCACAAAAAGGACCACACATTATAGTATTGACTACATTGTTTTTCCCATTTGCTGTTATTATTTCAAGTATTTATTCTTTTTATGTTGGTACTATTACATGGTACAACATTTTTACATATTATACTGAGGAGAAACCTGTATTCTGTCGTATTATTGTTTCGCCATTTTTGATATTACTGTATCCATTTGTTATTTTAATACTCACCATTGGTCTGGGATTGTATGCAGGACTTGTGCAAATTTCATGGTTTTTCGAAAGTTGGTACAAAGAAATGACAGATCTTGAAAAGGGCTTCTATGGTTGGTTATGTGCTGCACTTAAGCATGAAGATTGTTCTCCATATGAAGTTGTTGTACTTACTGAAATACAGGGACCAGGTGACGTAGGGATAACAGTAAGATCTTCATCCGAAGATTCCACCACATAGGCATTTTGATGTCTTAATTTATTGTATTTTATGTTGTTCACTTTCAGTGAGATTATAAAATGATTCATAGAAAAAAACACTCTATTAGATTTTTAAGGTGATCCTGTATTTATTATTTCATATACTGAAGATGATATGCTGATTTCTATGAAATCTTTCGTATCCTTTTTTTTTTACTTACGCACTATGTGCACTTGTTCATTTGTGATCTGAGGTAATAATGTGATTTATTGTAAGGATTTGTGTACTACAAGTTTATTCCTCTAATTATTTATAATGAGTACTCAGTCATTCCAGTACACTCTTCCTTGAAGTGAAGGTGTGATTGTTACGTAGCGGTAAGTGTTAGTTTTCTCTTCACTATTATTATGCTTATTTATATTATTGAGTGACTGTAAATTATTGATAATTTTACTACTTTATAGAATCTGTATTATGTGCTTGGATCACTGAGAAAGTATGTTAACAAATTTTAATTTTGCCAGGTATAATATTACTACTGTAATTACTAGAGTCCGGAAAGATATGTAGTATGAAATTGCAAAATATGTTCATAAATGTGTAATGGAAATGATCAGAATACATATGTAGCAAATATGGTTAAAAATAGAAAATAATATGAAAAAACACTGTTATGTATAGAACATTTACAAACAAACAAATTTACAGTTTCAAATTACTGTCATAAAATATTTATTAAACCAATTTTCCAAATTGTTTGGCCTAATGGATTAAATTTTTAAGAGTACATTTTTATCTTTGAGAGCAATGATATCCATTGTATAAAAGAGAGAACTGGATCATTGGCAAGCAATTGTTATAGTACTCTCTTGAAAGTGCTACACGTCTGTGACAACCAATACTCAGAAATTGGGATTAAAGATCAAAAAACTCTATGTTACTGATCCTTTCTACACTTAAACATTATATTCTCAGTACTCATATGCACTTGTATGTAGCACTAACAAAGATTAATCGAAACAGACTAAATGCATCTGCCTACATCTTTCAATGTTTTTCAATGTTTCTTGTCTCATTAGTATTCTGAATAAGTGTAGGAAGAAAAACAAACTATTCAGATTTTTAAATAAAAATATTTATGAGGATTACTTACTTATTTTTTGGAAAATAAGTTTCAAGAAAATTTGTAGAAAGAACAATAAAAAGTGTTGCAAATATTATAAAATATGAAATATAGTACAATATGTGAAAACAAAACTTAAGATATATTATGTTAGGATTGTTATAATTTGCAAGGAATACAGTTTTGAGAACAACCTAGAAATGCAAAAAATATGTAATTGCATAGGAATCTGGACTCTGGTGATTACCAATATATGAACAAAATCTGTGACACATATTTTTTATTTTATGTTTTTTGTGTATATTTGGAAGTAATAATACATCCATAGAAGTTTTGTACTTACTGCTGATGCATATTTTTCATGCATTGCTTTTTCAAAGATCATCTTCGCACATATCGGAATATAATTTAAAAAATTATGGTGGGGGTAATTGGTTGGTAATGGTTGTTATATGGAAGTTGCTTTTTAATATATTATTGTTTGAATGATTATTTTTTAATTTACGCCTTCATTGAACTACTCACTATTACAGAAAGCAGAAATGTATGTTATGGAATTTCCTTTCATCCTTGATAAATATTTATAGATGCTAGTGAAACAAGCTTAATTGTGATGTTCATTATGCACTTAAAAACAAATTTGATTATTGGATATCTTATGTCTATCTGTACTTGCATTACTTTCACTTGTTCAATTGTATTGTGTTATGAACCCTGTCCTGTGTATTGTGGTTTTGAGATACATTGTTTACTTGGTATTTCTGTCTTACATCTTTATTTAAACATTGTCACAATTTAAAAGTCTAAATAATTTAGCTTCTTGATAAATGGAAGAGTTTTTGATTTTGATCTTTGATGTTATTCTATGAATGACACTGAAAAAAATGTAATTTGAAGATAACGAAATTAATTTGTTAATACCACATTGAATTTAACACTTTCTTCATTCAATGTAAAAAGGCTTCAATATTAGTTCTTGTAATAAGCGTTGTTTGCTTTATGGTTGAAAATGCACTAAATAAACAGGCTTTAACTACAATGTACATCAATTCCGAAAGTTATGTGAAATCAGTATCCTCGCAGTCACTATCTTCGTGGTTCTTTCCTTGCCTGCTTGATTCTCTTTGTCCCTTTTGTATATTTTTCTAATTTTTGTTTCATTGGTCATGTTTTTATTTTTTTTTTAATAGTTCCATAAATTCAAATGTACCATGTCAATATTAAATATATTCCATTTTCTCATACAGTTATCATTTCCCAAGGCACTTGTTGAATTATTTTTCTTTAATTTCTTACTACAATTTTGCTCCTGCAGCATTCCCCTTCTTCGACTCTTGCTTGTTTTTGCATGGAAAATTTACTTTTTTTTCTGCATGAAAAGTTAACACGTCATATTCTCTCCACATTTAATTTAATTTAAAGGCTACTGTTTTTAAGTCTCCTTATTTCATTTATTCAATAACACGATAACATCGATATCTCAATTTCACGATATCTTTTGGTAAAGTCATTGGCAGTATCTCTCTTGCCTGAGGTCACCAAATTAGGAATCTAATGTTTATAAAATTACTTGATCGGCATAGTGAAAGATTTTTTTTGCCTCTTGAAATTTTTATCCCTGTGTCCATTGCTCTTTCTTTACCTTATTCTTATAAACATTGACTGGTGCCACTGCTACTCACTAAAGGATTACAAAGGAGCAGACTACTATTTCTAATTTTTGAAAGTACATATTGGTATTGTAGAGTAAGTCTCTTCAAAGCTTGAAACAAGTCTCAACGTTTGTTGTATAACCAAGCCCTTTTTTGTCAAGTCAAATGTAAATATGATTTTTCTTTACTTATTCTAATTTTTCTTTCTTTCCTTCATTTTCTTCTTGTTTATTCATCTTTGGTTCTTTTCTTTGTTACACTTTGAAAATTTTCATCCTTTCAAAATCTTTTTCCTTTTTTCAGAAAAGAATTATAACTATTGTGTTATAAATATGTAAATTACAAAACTTCATAAAATTTTCATTTATCTTATTAATTTTTGTTTTCGAGAACATACTTTTTTAGCATTGATTATTGATGCAAAATACATTCACAAATGTATTCAAAAAGTTTTATATCCTGTATCTGTAGTATCAAATGTGTGACTGTACTAAGTTAGAATGTCTGTATTCATAGGTATCATGACATAATATAACTGAAGTTTCCATATTTGAATATTCTTGTATTGAGTAACAAAAAAGAAAAATATTGTCAACTTTTTGAAACACTTCAATGGGTAGTCTAGAAATACATACAAACATATCAAGTCGAATTGTACAGAACTGTTTTTAATCAGATCAAGTTTCATAAAAATCAAACAATTTTTTATTTAATTTATTATAAAAATAGAGAAAAATCATAGTTTTGTCTTAATGTTTGTAATTTCTAATTAACTGGATGCCTATGTATGACTTATGTTTATTTTCATACAGGTTTCCTATCAGTGTGTTTTCTCTCTTACTGTGATTAAAACAATGGATGCAAGATCAAATCAGAGATCACATTTATGATGACATTTACCATAATTTTTAATAAAGATAGATATTTTATATTAAAGATAGATAATAATAGATACTTTACTTCCCTCCTGTTTGTTTCCTCTCCTTGAAACTATTTCATTCAATACTACATTGAAAATATTTACTAGAGTATCTCCAGAACCTGTTTCTGCCTGATATGAATAAACCTTCACCAAGAATTGAAATACCAATATTTGTTTGCATCCATGGTTCTAATTCAATCTAAAATAGGAGAATAAAATAGTGAAGCAAGAACACATTGACATATACCTTCATTCTAAATAATCAAAAAGAATTATCAAAGAACCATTATTTTTAGATTGACCTTAAGAATTGATGCTTAAAAAACTAAATTAATTTTGGAAATTCTTGATAATATTATCCTGGGAATTTATTTAATAATTTATCAGTAGGTCCATCAGTTCAAGTTAGAGATCAATCTGATTTTGTAAGGAAACCATATTAACATGATGCAGTACCAATGATAGTATCATTCAATATTAATTAATGTAGGGGCGGATCCGGATCCAGAGACAAATTTTGGGAGAGGAAATATTTTTATTCAAAATGTTTTGGTTGAATGTGTCAATTATGTAGAATGACGCAGGCTAAACACAGCTCATGTTGACATACCAATTTTATTCATTTTAATGTTTATACGAAAATATTTTTGCTTGAAAGTGTTGTGACAAGTTAAAATTAATAGTTACTGAAAAATTTTGGGAGGGGAAATTTTCCTTATTTCCCTCACCGTCGATCCACACCTGATTAAAGCTTTGGTGTCTAGATCTAGAATCTTTCTGTCATTATTACGAATCTTCTTTTGTGATTATGAAGATATGTTCATTGAAAAGGGTGGCCTTAATTGTAATATTAAACATTATTATGTAAATGAAGTAAAAGAAGAAACAAATGTAATGTTTTGTGTTATTTGAAAAAAGAAAAATGAACAATTGAACTAATTTTTCTTTCACATGTAGCTATAATGTGTTCTCATTACTTTACTCTTTTACGTATGAACTGTGTTATTACATTAGGACTTCTTTATCAATGCGCATTGAGATTATGTAATGAAAGTGACAAAGTCACTCAAAACATATAATAGACATGTATTAAGATAAAGTACATCAGATATAGTGTTGGAAAAAATAAAAATTATTTTGTGGAATTAGAATTGCACTATTGCAGTGTTGAAAACAGTCATTTTCTTACTTTTTGTGTTAGATGTTGTAACATACGATGTAAAATAAAAGAAATAATTGAGCTTGAAAACTGAATATCATATCTAAAACAAATTCATAGTTTTTATTGATGTACACCAGTAAAAACAAAAATTTACTGATTTGTATTGAAGATTTTAATCAAAATTATATTTATTTACCTAATGTCTATTTCAGTTCACTTCTTGAAATAAAGATCATTTACCAGCCTTTCTATACATAACAATAAATGTTTCTTATATAAAAAAGTTCATTCAGTATATATTACCTAGTGTCTATTAAAAATGTGATTTCATATCTTGAATTTTGTGAATAAGAGAATAAAAAAAGTGACAATATATATGAATGTAATATATAAGGTGCTCTCAATAAGTTCAATTTTTTCTATCTTTTGGCAGTATTTTTAAGTGTTTAATTATAAAATTATCATGCAACTTTTTAACCCATTAATAGTCACGAATGTTTAAAAAATAAATAAGCAATTTATTGCATTAATAGAATTAATTAGGTTTAGATGAAAATCACCTAATTTTATTTCAACTCTGGATGATAATTGTATCTAAGCATTTCAAATATTATGTTAACACTATTAATTATTAAAATTATTTTTACAGATAGCCTTTAATTGTAGTTGCATTGTAAAAATAAAATTAAATAATTGAGAACTAGCTGAATAAACCATGTTATTACACAAAATTAATTGGAGTTATTGACAGCCTATTTTAGAAATCATGCAATTGGAAAGTATCTTCAATACTTTTGGTGAGAACTAAAACAGTTTCCACAGAATTTAATATTGGATTGTGCGTTTGCAATCCTGCCTTTCATGATTCTCAAATAGAAATTTTTAGAGTAGGAAATTAAGTTTTATTATTTTCTTCTTAAAACTGAGTTAAGATAACCACTTTAGATATATGTATGCAAAAATTTTCCCACTTAATTTAAAAAGGAAGCTTTTACTAAAAAGCTAGCTGTTTACAGTTAATCACACATTCACAATGCTCAGATTAAGGTTTTTAAAAAATGAGATCAATAATATTTAATTTTTCAAATACAGAAATTTTACTTCAAGAATCAATCAGATGAATTTATCAAGTTCGTTAAAATTTCATCCTTCTTATTAATTTGATAGTAAATAAATACCTTTTCCGTTTCTCAATTTCCTTGTTTGCTTGCATCCTTTAAGTTCAGAATGTTGAATTAATTGAACCTTTAGCATAAAATTCCTCTTTTTTGGTTGCACCATTCAGTAAGCAATAAAAATAATGTGAATTGCATGGCTTTGGATCATCAATTAATGTAAGGATTCTGGTAACCCTATTCCCTCTCAATTTTTCTGTCATGCGAGAATCAGGTTGTTTTCCCTGTGAAAACAAAAGTGCTTGAAGTTCAGATTGTTCAACGGCAACATGGTGAAGTGTCTTGTTTTAATCAAAAGTTTAATAGAATCTTATAAATATCTTGCAAGAATCTATAATAACATCTGAACAGTGAAATATAAAAACTTAATGAAGTATTCCATTAAAAAAAAATTATAAACCAGTTGGCAGAAATGAAGGTACTGGCTGTTAATGGGTTAAAAAAATGTGTGTTATAGCAATTTCACATTCAGTACTAACGATTGAGAGGTAATAAAATATTAGTTACTTAAATAATAATAGTAGAATAAAATCATCTTTGATTATTTATTTTGAGACAATTTTAATGCAAAGGATTATGTTAGATAATTAAATGATATTCAAATATTTTCAGGGGTCTTCAAATATTTTTTCAGAGTAGGCCTAACAAGTTTTTTCGTCTGTATAGCAACTCTGAGAAACAAAGTTTTAAAAAAATTACATTAGCTAACCCTAGCTAATATTACAAGAGTATATGAAATTTATGTTTATTAAGTCTTTAAGTTACCATTAATTTTCATATTTCTATGTGGAATCTTGAACATCCGCTCATAATGTTAGTTTTTCTTTTTATACTTTTGTTACTTCTTGTAAGTAGATCACAACAGTGATACTGAATATTGAAAAACTAGCAAACTAGCTTTGTGACTAGTGAAATTAGTAGAAAATAAATTTTGTATTCTGAAAAAGCAGTATAATGTAGTATTGTTTTATATCTTGACTTGTTTGTAAGCCCCTGATATAAAAAACGTGTCAATGGGACTTCTCCTTCAAATCATATCCTTATATAAAAGTACTTCTGAATTTATATGAAAGTTTGTAAATGTTTTAAAAGTTTTCCAAAGTACTGTATTTATTAGCATTTGTATCATTGATCAATAAATTGTCACAAAAATGTATGTATGTATTTTATTTACCTATTTTCTATATATTTCAAATTATAGTTCTCGGAAAGATCTGTCTTGACCGCTGCAGTACCGTTTAAAAAATGTTAACAATTTTGGAGTGAATGTGTGTTTCTTCTGATTTGTTATTTATGGGATTTTTTATTTACATGAGAAACCTGATTTAGATTTTGCCACACAACTTCAAATTATGTCTTTACAATAAATTTCATGGTTCTAAAAGCATGTCTCAACTGATTATTCATTTTAGTTAAATTGTTGTTTGTGTTTACTGATGTGTTATTGCTCATTTCTGTAAAGTTTTAATCTTGTGAAGAGTGATAGATATTATTTGTCAAACGCAAGCTGTGGATCTCACTCTAAAGAAAAGAAGTAAGATAGCCACATTATATAAAGATACTACGACACAAAGGGACATTGCTAAAGAATGTGACATGGGTTTAGGAGAAGTCAACAAAATTATTAAACAATTTAAAGAAACTGGTAGTGTTCACCTCAGCAAAGAGGGAAGTGTGGAAGAAAACGCAAACAACTCACAGGGATGACTCAACTTTGCTCAGAAAATCAAAGAAAGACCCTAGGCTAACACGTTTTGATCTACAAACAGACTTAGCACGATCGGATGTTCATATTCATGACTCTACTGTTCGACATATGCTTTTGGAAGATGGGCGAAGGGCTGTTTGACCTCAAAAGAAACATCTTTTCACCATCCCAATGACGTAGAAAAGATTATCTTGGGCCAAAAAAATATGAGAAATGGAATGAATGAGATTGGGAGAATGTCTTATTCTCAGATGAAACACACTTTATTGTACAGGGTTAACGGTCACTATGTGAAGAAATCACGTAATGAGAAACTTTCTCCTAATCACTTTGATCAAAGTGTGAAATGCCCATTAAAAATGTTTAGAGTTGTTTTTCTATTCATAGGCCAGGGCCTTCTCCAGTGTATGAAATGATGAATTCCGATAAGTACATTGAGATTGTGAGATGATGAGTGATTGGAACTCTCAATGACAAGTGGCTCCCCCTGGCCCGGCGGGAATGCCAGTTTTCAACTAGATCATGTTCCCTGTCATAGGTCGCGAAAAGTCCCTGAATTTTTCCAAGATCATAATATTAAGTTTTTAGACTGGCCAGGAACTTCAAAAGACCTCAATTCCATAGAGAATTAATGGGCTATACTTAAAGGAAGAATGTGCAAAATGAACTACACAAACAAAGAAACCATGTTTTCTTCAGTAATCAGTGTATGGTTCACAGAAAATGAAGTGAAAAAGATGTCAAAAATTGGTTCATTCTATGCCAAAACGTGTAAAACTAGTTATTGAAGCCAGGGGTGGACATATTTAATACTAGTTGTATAATATTCTCTAAATAGTATGGACTATTAAAATAAGTTGAAATCAAGACATGTTCACATTAATTTGTGTATTTGTTAACTATATTATTCAAGAAAAACTCACTAATCCATTTTTTATGATTTTGAATACTTATATACAATGTGAAATCTCATTTTTTTAGTCTTAATTAGTGAAATTTTTGTAGCTGGAGTTGGGCATACCAAATTATTTCCTCTAATAACAAAGTCACTGAACAGTAAAATCTTTTTCTTTTTTTTTTTTAAAATTTTAGATATTAAAGTGTGTATTACAAAATAACAGGTTTGACTCCTACCTAACAAGAGATTTTCAGTAGAATCTTCAACTGAATTTTTCTCAATTTTTTTTGGAAGGGGGGGGGCGTTAATTAGTTTCACTTGTATAGCAACAATATATTCACAACCACAAGTTTTCAACAAAATCGCGCGAAAGTCTCTCAGAGAAGCATTTGGCCCATTGGTTATTAGTGACAACCCCACTGGAACTCACTACCAACAAAACAATATCAAAAACTGTAGTTGATTCTAAAAGATCTTTGATGGTATATAAAGAAAAATCAAACAATATGAATTAGTATCCTTGGTCTCCATAACATGACAGTTCAAATTCAGGTTCAAAATTAGTTAAATTGTTAAAAAAAAAGTAGCATTAAGATGCTAAACTACTTGTAAATATTGATGTAAATGAGTGACAAATTGAAAAATTGATTCATTGCTTCGACTTCCAAAGTAATTGGTTGTGCAATTTTTGATGTACTATTTAATAAACACTTGAGAATTTAATTCATGACTACTGTTTCTAAAAGACTTTTTCATAATTTTGTACATAGAACTCATCACCATTTGTCTTGCAAATTAATATTTTATTACAACATTGTCCAAAATTTATATAAAACATCACTGGGGTCTAAATCTAGTCAAAATAATGTCATTTCTTGTATTGTTTACTTAATGAATGTTGAAATAAAATATTTACTGTGCATGAATATCTTGTATTTTTAAAGTCATCTTTACAAAAATATACACAATTTAATTTTGTAATAGGAATAAAAACTATGACAAAATCATTGGGTTGAAGGAACAGCAGCACAATATTACAAGATGATAAATCATTTCACTTCCTTTCCAACAGACATATATTTACACAAAAAATTATCACATTGTTTTATGTACATTAAACCCTTTATACACTAAATCAGAATATTCAACTGAGGCAAGGTTTTAATCTTAAATTTTGGCATAAAGTAATACACCAAATCAGTTGATACTCGAATAGAACTACAAAAACTATAGTTTATTCATTTTTTCCCTCTGTTTTACCAGCAAATTCTAATTCTTTGTCCAATCTCTCCTTAGCACGAACAACTTTTGACTGTAAATAAAATGATCCTCCTTTACTTTTTTCATTCGCATTAAATAAATATTCATAGTTCTTCTTAATAATTTCGTTATCCAATTTTTCGACGTTTAAAATTTGCTGGGCTTCCTCCAGAGTAATTCCACTTCTAGCGTTCGCTGCAGCGCGGTTTGCACCTTGTTGACCACCTCCGCCTCGACGAGCAGATTCTTGACTTGCAGCAAATTCTTGACGAATCGCTCGGGCGAAAGCTCGACCAACCACTTGAGTTCCAAGAACAACAATTTGAGCTATATATTTAGCCATTATAATTAATTAGAAACTAAAGTTGACACAACAATTTTTTTTTAACACATAACCTCAATATTTCCAACAGCAAGCTCGTCGGCAAACGCAAGTTTTTTGTCCACAGAGTCCACGAGAGTTCCAGCACTGATTTTCATTTGTCAACAGACTTCACTACCGCAAGAACGACTGCGAATCCGCAAACGAATCGTTATAAACTCAGAGATGTCAGAATGACGTCACGTTTGGCGGGAAAGTGTGGTGAAAATGCATTGCGCGTAAGAGATTCCAGTACGTTTTTGCGTCCAGCGCGCCAGAGAATTAGTACGTTTTTGGTTGTAGTATGCGGTTGCCGAGATTTGTGTTTCACACATAGAGGAGTGTTATATTTGTGCTCTATGGTTTCACATCACATTTGTTATTTACCTCGATATTTGTTTTCTTTGGTTTGTTTAGGTTCTGATTGGGCATCTCTTTCACAAATTAAATTTAAAGATGCACTATTCTATCAGATGTACATCAAGCCACTTTACTTGAAAATATTTCGAAGTAAATATCATGATCATAGCGATGATGAAAAGGTGCTAATTTATAATCAAATGAAATCTATGAAATATTTGGACCTACATGCCCTTTTATCGGATACGAAAAGTGCCAACGAATTTCGGGCCCCTGTGCTATTCTAGTAGAAGGAACTTCTTATGTATATTTTTATAAACTGTAGGATTTTTAAATATTTATTTTAAAAATTATATTATTTATTATCATTGACACAAATATTACCTACATTCAACTTTAATAATCTTTGGGGGAAATCCAGAATGTTCATAAAAATATTCCTTTAAATGTTCCTAATTTTTCTCAGTGTGGAGGACTTTTCAACGCTAAGTTAACTCAAAGTTGATGTATTATAACGAATTAATTATATTAAATATATCTTTATTTAAAAATATCAATAAATATTACACTTATTTACGTATTTAAAAAAATGTTTGCAGGTTCCTATATTGAATTCAAATTTTAATTGATGGTTGAATTTCAATATCAAGGCACGTGTTTAAAATATTACATGTGCCATTCGCAATGATTTTAATGTTTGCATTTTTCAACAAACCTTTTTTCTATATATTTTGCTTACTAAGTTTTAATGAACATTTGAAGCCATTTCTTCAATATCATGCTCAAGAAATCATTTCTTGCTCATTGAATGAGAAGAAGAATATCTCAATATTGAGAAATATAAACAACGGTGGAAGCGAATTCAACTATGCCCATACTTCGCTGCATGCTCTAGTATTGACAGACCCATGGAGGATAATGGAATCCTAGCAGAACACGGCGGAAGCTTTTCGCAAGTTACACACGTACCAGCAATGGGCTGTATTGGTCATGTAATTGAATGACATTCTATTTCGCATATTTTATTTTACTATCAAAGAGGAATTAAATAATTCTGACACGGAGTAGGGGAGCTGCAGCCCCACAGCCCAACCCTCGAACCGGATAACCAGATTGCGGGGCTCTAAGCAGTACACATTTTGGGGGCCCATTGATCAATTTTATTTCATCCATGTGTACATATTAAACTCCAATTTTTATTTAAAATCTATCTAAGTACAATTTTTATAGTATTGTTTATACATTTATAACAAATTGCAATTTAACTTAACAAGAAATGAATACAATATGTATGCATTTCTTTTATCAATCAGTAAATAAACATTCATTAATACTTAATAAATAATATATTTTACTATTCGTATGTGTTTTATGTATAGAAGATATAAAAAATATAACGCATTTAAATCATATTCTTTCTACCCCTTTGCCGAGAAAATTCTTTTATTAATTTATCAATATTTAAGTCAGATCAGATATTAACATCAGATTCAATTGATATTAAAACCAATGAACTCGACCGCCCAGTCTTGTCGTCCTCAGAGGATTTTTAATCCTTTTTAAGTGTAAAAAAGATCGCTCTTCTGAACAGTTAGTCATCATCAAAGTAAAAAACATTCTAAGGCACATTTATATGTTCGGAAAAACTGTCTGGAGTTTATCATCCATATTGATTTTATGGAAATCAGTATAAGTAACATGAATACTTTTACTTCGTTCAATTTCAAAAGTATATAATGATAAAATTGTATCAATTCTCCGGCAAGATTCAAATCCAGATCCTCAGGATACAATGCTACAAGCGTTTCAACGTTAGATGGTAACTCGTTAGGCAAGTCCATGTTTAACAAGAAGAAAACTTGTTTGACAGATTTTTATAAACTCTCTTTTCTTTTCTCCTCTACTTTTCAACTGAGCTTGCAAAATGTCAATGATCACATAAAAGGTTGAAACCCGACATTTGTCTCTTGAACTATGTCTTCCGCTTGACCACTATTGACCTGTTTTTTTCGAGTATGCCTTCGAAGAGAGTTTTATTTATAATGAATATCAGACAGAACTCATTTCGATGCGTTTTCGAATTCGTCAAAATCTACGCGTTGATCTTGCAAATAATTTGTTACCGATTCATAGAGATTACTGCAACTTCCAAATTAATTTCTGCACTTTGAAGAGCTTGAGAAACGATGCAAAATGTCATTCCTATTTGTTAGCATAAAAACGAACTAAAATTCTTTCATTTTTTGTACTGATTTTACAGACGTGTACAAATTATTAGAATAATTTATGAATTAGATGTTTTTCTTATTTAATAGAAAAAACACTTTGCATATGAACGTAAAACTACATTTCAACCTTTTTGTGCCTTCTTTGGTTCATGCACTTCATTGAAGGTCCTTTGTAATATCTGAGGGAAAATGATTTTTTTTTTAAATTTGTGGAGGGGAAAATGATTTTTTTTTTTTTTTTCAAATTTGTTGCGTCTCTACACGCAACGCGTCTCCTAGCTCCTAAGAGCGTTGAGCACACATTGGAATAATCCTCCGTTAATTACTTTCATAGGAGTAATCCTCCTTTATTACATAGCCAGCACCATCTAGGGGACACTGGGTAGTCAAGTCAGGGAATCGCCGATAGGTAGCGTCTTCGCGCTCGCGTCTAGCACGCGTCCTGCCTCATCTACCTATCGGCCAGAATTGGGAAGGAATAAGGATAGGGGTAAGGTTTAGGAATCTTCACAAGGGTTGGAATAGCACCTGTGAAGCATGCCAACTCGTTTTGTCGTAACAAATTTCACTCTTTTTAGAAAGATTTGTGATGCTGTGTATCAAAACAGCTAATGTGGCAATTGTTGAATGTAAGTTTCTTGTGTTTTCTAGTTGAGGGTTTTTCTATGCCATAATTTAAGTCTAGGAGTGTTTTATATTGTTTTATAGTGTATGTTTAATCCAATATTTGAATAAAATTGGTTTTTGGGTTAGTTTCCTGTTTTTTAAGCGGTGAACTGAAGATGCTTCTTGTTGCAAAACTGCAGTTATGTGTAAAAATACAGGCTTTTCGCCCCGTAAAAAGTCATTGACTGAATGTTTTGTAAAGAAAGGAAGATATTTTCAATAAAGTATTGCTTTGGAAGACTCTTTCACAATTATTGTTTTGTAGAATCAGTTCTGCATCAAAATCAGTCAAGACCCTTGCAGTCAAATGTAAGGGGAAATGTGGTTAAAAACCCAAACTGAGTCCTCGTATGCAACAAAAATTGATTCAAAAGATGAATAGAAGAAACACTAGTAAGGACTTGATCAATCAACTGAACCTGAATGGAGTTGAAATATCTTATGAATTGTAAGAAGGGGTCTTTGTGCTGCAGAACTTCATGCAATAAGGTCAATAAATCGAAATAACTCCTACCATTGCTAAGAAATGGGGCCACTGATGAGGTGTTTTCTCCAAAATGTATCATTCAATTAGTCAAACATCCAACTTCAGTTAAAGTATGGAGTTGCATGACAGTTCATGGATGTGACAGATTAGACACTATTGAGGGCACAATGGAGCAGAGTCCGTACAAAAAAGTGCTTAAAACGCGCCTGCTGCCTTTTTGAAAAAAAAATGTTTAAACAAAATATAAAATTACCTGTTTTCGAAAAATTGTACATGACCTTATTTCAAATTCTACTGTTAAGGAACAGACTTTATTAAGAGAAAATTCTCTATCTTTATAATTGTAATTGTGAGAAGACGGCGATAAACTTTTTCCAATTTTCGAACAACCAGAGTTTTTAACGGACATACGACGTACAAAATTCTCTTAAACTTCCTTCACACTATTCAATAACAAAGTTGAAACAAAAACATTCGAGCAACTTTTTTACATTTTGAAAATGTGCTTCGTACTGTTTGATATAGGGGGATGTGAAGTGATGAGGCATATTACCTATGAGCATCAACTTGTAGCACTTACTTACGACTGTTTTTCAATTCAAAGGACCAACACGCTTATTTATGCGAGAGTGTTCACATTATTCCAGCAATTGATTATATCGACAGGGAGTGTTGCTATTATTTGGGAGAATCAATAGGCATAGATTTAAATGGTAACAAAGAACATATATGTATATTTAAAACTGAGATGTAACATGAGCTTGCAATGATGCAACTACATTTTCCCCTCAAAAGGTTTGAATTACTGTGAATGCCGTAGTCACATGCAAACTTAAATGACAGAATAAAGTTACTGATACTGGCATTCAAAGAGAAATAATTAAAAATAAAAAAGACACAAATTGGAACATCATTTGAGCTGCTCATTCCGTAGGCGACTTTCTGAGACTTGTGCTGATTAAGATACGAGTGAGATTTGGGAATTCTGTTGGCAGACATGTGTCTAGTATTAATTTCTAAGCACGTGGCGAGGTCAGAGCTGGCTGGCAATGAAAGTTTGAAAGTAACCAATGACGTTTTTGTCCTAGAATCCTGGGAGATCTCAGGATTCTAGTACCATAAGTGGTGGATTTTCGACATTATTTGCTAGGTTGAGTAGCATCAGGAAAATTGTAGAGGTAGTATGCCCTCACGGGTATTTTTCCAACCAATACTGTTGGAATGTCAGAGTAATATTCTAATAATCGTGCCACGGAACCGATACGACTTCCTCAGTCTAGTCCCGCATTCCTCTTTATACACACTCACTCGCTCAACATTTAATACTCTTCCACAGTTTACGGGACACTAGTCGGAAAATTACAACTTGTCCCACATGGGGAGGTGCCCCAAGTGGAGGTACATAGAAGAGGAAAACCGACGCGTTGGTCGTCCCCGGGCCATACACAGCGACAGCAGGTAAACACCGACATTTCTGACGAGCACGACGTATTCCCAACACCGTATTAAGCTTATTTGGCCAGCCCAAACTCTTTCTTTCGTTCCTCGATCGAAACTGCGTCGATTTCTCTTGAAAAGTTAATTTCTGTTTCGCCATGATCGAAAATCGAAATGGAACCGCGAGACAAAAAGCTGGCACGTTGATAAGACACGCAAAAGTCGCACGAAAAGTGACCACAAACAGAAAAAAAACAAATAAAATATAAAATTCCAAAACCTATATTTTATTTGCAAATTATTAACAATTTCAGACTACTATTACAAATGGAACGTCTGTAAGTATAGAAAATTGAGTAATTGACTTTTGTGGGTGGGTCACGTAGTGAAACTGCGGCAGGATCACCCATAAGGATTACCGATGGGCACCTTCCCCTTCTATCCCGCGTACAGCAAGGAGGAGTGTAATGTCGTTTCGTTGTTGGTCGCGCCGTTGTGTCGTGCAGAGCAGACAGGACCACCCATGAGGTTTACGGTTGGGCACCTACCTCACTATCCCGCATACAGCGGAGGTTGAAACCCTTAGGTTTGCCGGTGGGAATCCTGTCCCCAATCCTTCCTGCACAGGATAGGAGAGTGATTTTGGTGTTTGTAGTTGGTCGCTTTGTTGCGTTGCTAGTCTGCGATATGTTACCCACTGGCTACGAAAGAAGCAATAACATATCAAATTAACAATTCGATTGTACGCTGTTTCGCGCCAATCGCCATCCTTATCGATACAAATGACGACAACATTCTCTTCGAAAGCCGGCCCTCTTAATTAATCTAAAAAGTTGGCGATTATGTCTACAATTATTTCTCCATTTCATCAAAATTATTTTACTTAAGATCTTTCCGAAATATGATTTTATGTTCTTGGCTAAGCATGTTTGCTTTAAGAAAACCCATAACACCGGAATTCGGGGTCCAATGAGTCATTCTGGCAAAACTGTACATTTCAGTGCGATGTGAGCTCAAATGCGTGGGGTATCGCGACTGAAGCTAATTAGTGCGAGGTGGCGCTTGTTGAAGGATTCATAGCATGATGAAAATGCATGCCTGGTCGGAACTCTACAGATCACAATTCTACTCCATATTTCGAAAAGTGAATGTATTTATTTGAAAATCTCGATTCGAAACAGTCAGCTCATTAGCAAATACAGCTAATAGTGCTAAAACAGTGTGTACTTTTTCTCCTGCTCAAATTTTCGAAAAATCGTGCATGATGTTGTTTCAAAATCTATCTTTAAGGGACTGATTTCATTAAAGGAAAAAAATTAACATCAACATTATAATTGTAGGAAGATGCTGAAATAATTTTTAATTTTTTCAATCTTCGAAAAATCATGGTTTTTTACCAGCATGAGACCTGCATCATTTTCTTGAACGTTCTCAAACTATCCAACTACAATATTTATAAAAAACGATGGGGTTGGTTTTGGGAAAATATTGTTTAAACAAAATTAACAACACCACATATTTCCTTGCGTCATTGAAAACTGCGACGTAATATTGAAATATTACATTTTCTAAGCTACTAACACCTCAGCCATTATTTCAAAACTTCCAATTCAACCAAATAGTAAACAACGCACTTTTGCCAGTGCAGAGTTATGAAAACTATGTGCATTCGCTTGGCTAATAATATAAATACAGTATTTAGAATACATGCAATAAAAAAAATAATTACGAACAATTTCGTGACATTTAATAAAGTCGAGCCATTGATTTGAAAATTTTTAAAATGTTCCTGAGGCTTCATGGAAAGTACTCCCCAAAATTAAAATATCGGTTATAAATTCAGGGGGCCGCGACATCCGCCAAATCGATTGGCGAATATCAATTTTGGAGACAATCGGCTAAACGGTTTATCCGGTTAGCGTTGTTGACGAGCGGACAGACGTTTTGTCGTCATTCGATTTGTAGATATTAAGCACTCACAAAACATGTATTCTAGCTACACTGTGAGAGGATGCTAAAGGATTTTTGTGTATATTTAGTAACTGGATTTATCCACTTTTTCGTTACCAAGGCCCTGTAATAAGAGTATTTTTGCCGAAAATTCGCCGTTTAGCGCAGCTGCGTAAGGAAGCAGCGAAAAATTTAAAACAAGCAAAGCTCAGATGTTCCAAGTTAGAAATAAACACTGAAATGCAAACGAAATTGTTATAAACACAACAAAATTCGCTTTGAGCATCTTACCAAAGAAATAAAGGACTTTGTAATGAGAAAAGGAGTAACTGTACAATTGTTTTTGCAAAATACAAACAGAAAAACAGGCACATTCAACCTAGTAAGAACACACAAAAGGTCACTGAATACAAAAGAGAACATTAGAAATAATTTTCTTTTTTGATGCATGGATTAAGCTAAAGTGTAAAACATAATGGAGGGTAAAACTAGAGATGAAGAAGGAAGGAAGGGCATAGTGAAGGTGGCGCTAAAGCAGAACGAACTTTCTCGCCCGTATTTTTATGTAAAATTACGCGAAAAGTACTTAAATTTTTGAAAAATTAAACATGACCTTATTTAAAAGTCAATTTTTAAGAACACATTTCATCAAGGGGCAAAATCTCTCACTTAAATATTTTTGCTGTAGGAAGTCATTTTAAACTTTTGCAATTTTGGAAATATCGAACAAGTGACTTGCACCATTCTATCTTCATACTTTCCAACAGCAAAATTAAATAAAAAACGATGCAGCTCTTTTTTTGAAATTAGGAAAATGTCCCAAGGGCTTCATGAAAAGGGCCTCTCAAAATTAAAGTATCGGTTTGAAATTCAAGGGCTGGCGGTAACAGCCAGATCGATTGGGAAATATCAATTTGGGAGACTCGGCTAACGAAACTCGGCTAAACGGTTTTGCCGCTAGCGTGGTTCACATACGGACAGAATTCAACACCTTCACAACAGTGATCATTACCCCATAACATTGACATATGAGAATTCGATTACCCCTGAGGACATCTATATGCCCAGATGGATATTTAAAAAGGACAACTATAAGTCGTACCAAGACAACGTCACAGGCAAAATTCAGAACCTTAAGAAATTAAACATCGACGATTCAAATAAACGAGCACAAATAAACGAAATTCTGAGCAGCTCTACAGAACTTATAGTCTGCAACGGAGGTGACTATACCCAAAACGAAAAATAATAAAAGTAAAAAGAAACTGCGTTGGTGGACAAGGAAATGGGAAGAATCGTTTACGAATTACAAGCCCTGGTTTAATGTATTCAGGAAACATAAAACAAATAAAAATCCATTCAGGTTTACGTAAGCACGAGTCAAGGCAAGAAGAATCATTAACGAATCTAAGAGCTGCTGCTGGAGCTGCTGGAAGGAATACTTAAACATCCTTAAACAATAAAGTGAACTTCTCGGAGGCTCGGAAGCAAATAAACGCCATCGATGGAAAATCCAAAACAAATTACCTGAAGTATATATACACGCCAGATGGTTAAATTCATTCTAGTGCCGTGTGACATTGCAAATACATTTGGAAATATTTTCGCCTCCAACTCTAGTGATGCAAACCTCGCAGATGGCTTCACAAAACATAAAGAAGAAACTGTGAGATCTCTCCGAAACCAGGAAGTAGAAGAAGACGAAACAGATGATTCCTAACAACTGAATGCACCCATTACGCTCCAATAACTTAAGATTCGTCGTAAATATACGTCAACTAAAAGACAACAGCGCCATTCCCGACGGAATGCCTAACATATTTATCCGGATGCTTCCTGAAGGATCTATAAATGTTTTAGGTATTTACAATTATTTATATTTAAACAATGTCTCGCCACAAAAAAGGTCACAAGTTGTCATTGTTCCAATTCACAAATAAGTAACGACCAATTTTTAATATACAGCTACAGGCCTATTGCCCTAACTTGTTGCCTGTGTAAATTATTTGAGGAGGTAGTGAACCAAAGACTTAAATGGTACCTAGAGAAACATTAGCTAATATCACCCCATCAAAGTGGTTTTCGCAGGAAGCGATCCGCCTTAGAGAGCATTGTACTAATCGACAACAGCATCTACAATGAATTTGCCAATAATATGTTCACAGTGGTACTAATCCTCGACATGGGAAAGGCATAAGCGATGGTCTGGCGCAAACGTATCATGGACATAACAACGCATCATGGAATTAAAGGCGACATACCTAAGCTCGTCCATAACGTCATTATAGAACGGTACATTAATGTCAGAGTAAAATGATCCACATCAGATATATATATATATATATATATATATATATATATATATATATATATATATATGCTACAAAATGGAGTACCGGAGGGCTCTGTGCTTAGTGTGACCTAGTTTCTGTTGATAATAAATGAACTTACAAGCGAAGTACAAGTCCGCTGATAAGTATGTTACACGAAGCTAATTTACACTCCTGGATAAAAGAAGAAATCTAGTCACAGTATATATAATTTAAGTGACAGCAAACTGCGGCAACCCTATGAACCAAATTTACCAGCTTTCATACAGACACAGTAAGAAAGTGTGCTTCAGAAAGAAACAACCAAAACCAATTTAATCATTTATTTCAGAAACCCGTCAAACGCCAAAATATAAAACACACTTTAGAGACGGATTATTGTTCCAGGAGGATAGACACATCGTTTAGTGCATGCATAGTGTGTATATATATGAAAAAATATTTATTTAGCAACTCATATAATAAAACAAAAATTTGAAATCAGAAAAATTGGTAGACTTTTTCTCAATTTTCTCGAAATGAGAAATTTGGTGTTTGACGGACGAAAGTGTCGGACGAAACATGGTATCAATAACTACACGGCAAAAGTACTAAAGAACAAAAAACATTGCAGTCGGTTTCTCAATTTTTTGAAGGGCATTAACTTGTACAGTGATATACAAGAAAAAAGTGGTTTATATTGTGATATGAATGTTCCCTCCCAAAATGTCATAACACTCCATTTGTATAAAAATAATGTTATTGTGTAGAGGCCGCTAATAACCTTTCCTAGTTGATGTGACATTCATTGTTTAAAGTTATTTTTCGTGCCGTTGCTTCATTTGTTAAGTTTTCGAGATACGGCAAATAACAGTACTAAACAATTTGTACTTTGGACAGGATATTAATTGAGTCACGTTTCCTATTTTAAGTTACGTATATCATCTTCTTCTGATAATTTTGTATTTACAAACTATATCTTATCATTTTTATTGTATAACTATAGTATTATTTCTTCATTATCTTCTTCTCACAACTCAGGTCAGTTTATGCTCGTAAAATCTTGCAATATCTTGATACAATATTGGCGTGCAATAATGTTCACATAATATTAGTGTATCCATAGGTCGTTAATCGCAGTTTTGTTGTACTGAATAATTGGCAAATATATTTTTTTCATTGCCAGAAAACACGTAAATATGCGACAAGATGTGAGAAATGTACTGAACTGAAATGCACTGTTTGACGCGACTTCCCTTTAAGTTATCTAGTGACC